GAGGACAGGAGTCTCGCGTTGTGTGCCCAGGCGGGTAGAGGTGAGGTGCTTGTGGGCGTCAGCCTAGCCACAAGGCAACTTTTCACACTCTCCCTGGGCTCAAAGCGAGATCCTGCTGCCTCAGGGCCTCCCGAGTAGCTGGACTACAGGCATGTGCCACCGGATGCCCGGCTGAATTGTTTTTCGTATATATATATTAGTTGGGCCGAATTAATTTCTTTCATTTGATGGTAGAGGACGGGTCTTGCTCTTGCTCAGGCTGGTTCGAAGCATCCTGACTCGAGCAATCCGCGCCGTCAGAGCCGTCCCAGAGTGGTGTAAGTTGGTTTATTTTGGGTTCTTCATGGTCGGGGTTGAGCCATTACGCCCTTAGCATTATCCTTGAGTGACAAGTCAAGCACGATCTTCACGAGCTGGTAGATTTAGCTTATTAGTATCATGTTCCCATGTCTGTGCCTAAGCCTGAGTGAGAGATTTAAAAAAAAAAAAAAGAAATATACTGGATATATTTCTATGTTGGGCATCATTCACCTTAATAGTTAGAACTCCCAAAGGAAAACAATAAGTCAAACAAATTAAATAATAGGCTACTATAGAATTGAGTTTTAGCTCTAGGTGACCTCTAACATGAACATGAATGGCCTGGTACTAGGAGTAGATTCGCCTATCTCTCTTTTTCCGTTGACAATGACTGGATACCTAGACTTGAGCTTTGATATTTCCCAGCATTCCATCCATGACCACAAAGGGGCAGACTGACAGATATTCTCCAGCTAGAATGGGTCACCCTGCCTCTGAAATTTGTCCTTGCCTCTACTATAGCTCAACCATATTGGATTGTGATAGTTTGTGTACATGTACGTCTCTCACACTGGACTGAGTGCTTTGGGTCTGGGAACTTTGTCTCATACCCTCAGCATTTAGCAGAGTGACTGCCATGTACCATCTCCAGAGCCTGTACTGACACAAGCTCAATAAATGTTAAAGAAGAACAGAAAGACAACGATATATTCAAAGGGACAAATAGCATCCACACATTAGATACACTCACAATATAATTGAAGGACGTGTCAGCAAGCACTGCAAACTGACGGAACAGTGTGTGCCTAGTAAACATCTCATCCTTGAGGACATGAAAGCTGAAATAAAAGAGAGGGGAAAGTTTCAATGTATAAAATGACAGGATAAAGCAGTAAGTATTAAGTTAATGTGGTTAGTAACCACATTAAAAATTTTAAATATTACCAAGTAAAAAATTTAAAATACTACTGTGAACTTGTTCTTTCATGTAAAAAACTACATATTTTCCAGCTCTGAAAAGAAGCAGTGGCAATGATCACACTTTGTGCCCACACTGGGGTCTTAAAAAGCATTTCTTACTAAAATAAGCCAGGGCGTCTTTCAGAAATTGCTGTTTCTAGATCTAAGACAATAAATGGTACAAGATGAGCCTGGGACATTTTATTCTATTAAAAATCAAGGAAGTCGACTGGGTGCGGTGGCTCATGTCTGTAATCTTAGCACTCGGGGAGGCTGAGGTGGGCGGATTGCTCAAGGTCAGGAGTTCGAAACCAGGCTGAGCAAGAGTGAGACCCCGTCTCTACTAAAAACACAAATTGATTGGCCAACTAAAAATATATAGAAAAAATTAGCCGGGCATGGTGGCGCATGCCTGTAGTCCCAGCTACTCGGGAGGCTGAGGCAGGAGGATTGCTTGAGTCCAGGAGTTTGAGGTTGCTGTGAGCTAGGCTGACGCCACGGCACTCACTCTAGCCTGGGCAACAAAGCGAGACTCTGTCTCAAAAAACAAACAAACAAACAAAGAAAAAACCATAAAAAAAAAAAGCATTTCTTACTAAAATAAGCCAGGACATCTTTCAGAAATGGCTGTTTCTAGATGTCAGACAATAAATGTACAAGATGAGCCTGGGACATTTTATTCTATTAAAAATCAAGGAAGTCATCAAAGATTATATCAAGAGAACACAGTAGGCAACTTGTAAGGGCTCCTATCGACTTAATATTGGAGAAATTAATCATCACAAATAATAAGGACTACAATGTATTGAAGCATCACACATGTATTAACTATTTGGGAAATTCCCAGCCTATTCAGATTGCAAATGATGCTAAAATTAGAAGAGTTGCTGTCAGGAAAGCATATTCTGGAGAGAAAGCCAAGAACATGGCTGGATGCCCTTTTGCTAGTGCTTAGAGAGGAACACAAAAAAATCACAGCATTGAGTCGTACAAAAAGGCTCTTTGAAGAGATTAGATGTGTGACTCATGGATATCCTCCCAGCCATCTCAGTAGGAGTCCAAGGTAGAGATGGAATTATCTAGGAAAGACCTGAGAAGGAGCCTCCTGTCTAATGTAGTACATCTCCATGACAAACATGGGAGACTCACAAGGTTTTTGAGAATGTTATATCAGCAGAAACACTGCCAGTTTGGACTGAAAAGGACAGAGAGAAGAAAAAGATGAAAGAAGGCTATTGGACTACTAAAATTCTACAGGCAAGAAACATGCTGGTAAAACTACTTAGTTGCAAACATGTGCTCACTTTCATGAAAAAGAGGTTTAATTCAGTAGTAGTGTTTCAGGCCCGAGGGATGGAGCCCTGAGAGACAGAGAATTATCTCCACCTCTTGAAATCTAATGGAGTTATGCTGAATTTCAAAACTGTTTAGATTAGCAACTCAATTTTTCCTTCTCATTTTCTCTCCTTTTGAACAAGAATGTCTATAACTGTCATCGACGTTTATGTCAATGCAATGCCTGTCCCACCACTGTATTTGGGAGCAAATAATCTGTTTTGTAGTTTCACAAGTCCAAATATGGAGAGAAACTTTGCCTCAGGATGAATTATAACTGAAGTCTCACCCATACCTAATTTAGATGATGAGAACTAGGACTTTTGAGCTGATGACACTTACATAAAATTTTGAACTTGAGTTGATGTTGTAATGGGTTGAGACTTTGAGAAATATTGATAAGAGATGAATGCATTTTGCTTACAGTAGAGGCATTAATCTTTGCAGGCCAGAGGGTTGGCTGTTGTAGCCTCCCACCAAGAAATCCACTTCCTAATCCCTGGAACTTGTGAATACACTACCTAACATATTATAGTAAAAGAAACTTTGAAAATGTGTTAAGGATCTTGAGATAGAGTAATTATTCTGGATTATCTAGCAGGCCCAATGTAATCACAAGGGTCCTTTTTAAGAGAAATAAGAAGCATCAGAGTAGGTAAAAAAAAAAAAAAAGAAAAGAAAAGAAAAAGAAAGCAATGTGATAAGGGAAGCAGAGGTTGGAGTGAAACCAGCAGCTTCTAGAAGTTTAAAGGGGCATAAAACATTATCCCCTGGAACCTCCAGAAGAAACCAGCCCTACCAATAACTTGAATTTAACCCTATAATATAATAGGGTAATATATAGACTGTAATATAATACATTTGTGCTGTTTTAAACCTCTAAATTTGTGGTAATTTGTTACAGTAGTAATAGGAAACTAGTACACAGATTTAAGAACAAATTTATGACAAGAATTTTGAAAAATCACCTAAGTTGACCAATTTCATAGAAAAATATAACTGTAGACCTACAAACACCATATATGATATAGGAACTCAATACGGATGGTCTATATGGCAGAATAGATACAGTAGAATACAGGATTATTAATCTCAATAAAAATATACATTGCTAAGCACAGAGAGAATAAAGGAAGGAAAAAAAATCAGACAAGAACATAAGAGACATATGGCAATAGTTAGACGGAACAGCATACATGAAATTAAATGCCCAGAAAAGAAGAGAAGAGAGCAGAAGTAATATATGGAAAGCTAATAGCTAAGAATTTCCCCAAACTCAGAAAAGACATCAGCCCACATATCCAAGAGCTAGACAGTATAAATAAAAGTAGCTCTACCTGGACACATCATCGTAAAACCACTGAAAATCAAAATATTCAGACAGGGAAAAATACATTACCTTCAAAGAAGCCATAATAAGACTGACAGCTGACTTCTCAACATCACCAATGGAAGCCAGAGTACAATGTATTGACATTTTAACGGGCTGAGATAACAAGTGCCAACATAGAATTCTGTACTCATAGAAAATATTCTTCAACAATAAAGATCAAATAAAGGCATTTTCCTCTAAAGAACAGCTGAAAGAATTATTTGCCAGTAAACTTGTATTAAAAGAAAAACTAAACAGCTGTTTGGGCAGGAAGAAAATGATTTCAGATGGAAACACATTAAGCTGGAGGAAATGAAGAGTTCAACAAAGAGCAGATTTGTGAGTAAATATAAATGAATACTGACTCTGCCAGTCAACAATAGTAATGTTTAGGGGAGTTAAATATATATATATATATACACATATACATATATGTATATAAACATATATATATATATAATTAAAATGAAAATATAGGAAGAGAGTAAATGGAGTGAAAAATATTCTAAGGTTATAAAATCTTGGGGAAGTGGTATGAATAGTAATTTGTATAGGACGCTGATAAGCTAAGGATAATATTTCATAAAGAAGAAATTTCAAAAGGAGAAAATTATGAATAAATAGCAAGAATATAAAGGAAAATTTGGCTGGGGGTGGCAGGTGGCTCCATGGGTGTAATCGCTGCGCATCTGGTGCCCCCGACCGAGGGTGGTAGATCGGCTTGAGCTCGGGGTTTGAGACGAAACTGAGCGTAGCGAGACCCGTCGGCGTGTACTTAAAGAACAGAAAATTAGGCCAAGCATTGTGGTGGGTGTGCAGGCCGCATGTCCGCTACTGCAGGAGGCTTGAGGCAGGAGGAGTACTTGAGTCCAGGATGTCGTGGATCTTGTAGGTGAGTTATGACAGACCAGACTGGCTCTGCTACCCAGAGGCCGGGTGAAGAGGTGAAACTGGCTCCAAAGAACACACAAACACATAGAGCCAACATAGACAAACACAAGTATAAAGCAAGCAAAGCAATCGAAAGTTAAAATGATAATTGCCATTGAAAAATAGGTAGGCTCCTAGGTAGAGTAAGTCGTATTACTTAAGATTGAAAGTGGACTCACGCGGTAAGTAAAAGTCAAGCCTTTCTATTCGTTTCACGCAATGCGTCCAACCCATGGGAGGGAAATGAAATTAAGTGCATGTTAAGTCTTGCTTTCCCCTGTATTATGTTGTATCCTCACAATAATTATGTGAGGTAGCTAGGGAAGGTATTAATAAGCACATTTTACAGAGCCCAGAATAGTTATTAGCACAAATGTAAAACACAGGTAGGACATCATTTTGCCACAAAACAAATAGAACATCTCACCAAAAGGAGATCTTTCACTCCCAATCTGGGTTTTTGTTATCTTGTTGATTGTTTTTTTTTTTTTTTTTGGAGGGACAGAGTCTACACTTGTTTCCCAGGCAGAGTGAGTGCTGTGGCGTTCAGCCGGTAGCTCACAGCAACCTCAATCTGGCTCAAGCCATCCTCCTGCCCTCAGCTCCCGAGTAGCTGGGGACTACAGGCATGCGCCACCATGCCTGGGGGCTAAAGTTTTTTTTTGTTAGTAATATATTAGATGGCCCATATTTCTTCTATTTTTTTTTTTATATAGAGATAGGGTCTTGGTCTTGCTCGGGCTAGTTCAAACTCGCTGACCGTTGAGCAATCTGCTGCCTCGGCCTCCAGAGGTGCTAGATTACAAGGGGTGAGCACGTGCCCAGCCTTGTTGATTCTTTGTGTGCCACCTAGTATTGATTATTTTAGTGTAGTGTGTAGAATGTATAGAATGGCATACACAAAAATATAGCATGTGCTTATGAAATACAGTGCAAAGGTAGGGCGTTGTCATCTCAGGATGTCATGTGTGAGCTTCAAGCTTGAGCTACATTAACCCTATCAGACCCACATTGAACCCATCATGCCCCTGCTGGTTGATTGAGAGAATCTTGCAAAGGAACTTCCAACATGAGTTAAAGTAGAGAATCTGGGGAAATTATGGCAGGAAACAAGTGAATAGAGTATATATATTTTAAAGTTAACATGTTAGCACAAGGGAAAAAATAGGCATTTTCTCTACTTGACATCGCTTTTAGCCTTTTCAGAATTATACAGTTGCACTTTCTCCACTTTAAAACAAAAGCAAAGATGACAAAAGGAAGGGATATTAAATAATTATATGAGTGAAAAATAGATCTTAGGCGGCCCGGGCTCACGCCTGTAATCTAGCACTGGTAGGCAAGGTGGCAATCGCTCAGCCAGATTCAAACAGCACTGAGCAAGAGCATGAGACCCGCTTACTAAAAGAAGAAAAGAAATTATGACAACGAAAATCATATATACAAAAATCAGCAGCCATGGGGAATCTGTATCCTCATACCGGAGTGGAGGCAGGAGGTTGCTTGAGCCCGAGAGTCTGAGGTTGCTGTGAGCTAGGCTGACGCACGGCACTCCCACTCTAGCCTGGCAACAAGTGAGACTCTGTCTCAAAAAAAAAAAAAAAATGAAAGAAAGAAAAATAGATCTGTGTGATTACGCAGCTGGTGGTGCTATTTTGTCTGGAAAAGAAAAGGGAAGGGGACCTAGTATCTAAAGCAATTTTAAGAAGACAATGCAAGGCCGAGCACAGTGGCTCACGCCTGTAACCCTAGCTCCCTGGGAGGCCAAGGCAGGAGGATTGCTCAAGGTCAGGAGTTTGAAGCCAGCCTGAGCAAAAGCGAGACCCCATCTCTACTGAAAATAGAAAGAAATTAATTGGCCAACTGAAAATATGTAGAAAAAATTAGCTGGGCATGGTGGCGCATGCCTGTAGTCCCAGCTACTCGGAAGGCTGAGGCAGGAGACTGCTTACGCTACGAGTCCCTGAGGTCTCTGTGAGCTAGACGATGCCATTCAGCTCTACACGGACATCTTGTTTTCACAAGAAAACAATGCAAACCAGTTATATATCTCATGTGCAAATGAATGAGAAAAGGTTTCAAGAACCCAATGAAGGAAGATGACTAGTTAGGTCTAATAAAACCAGGTATCAAGAGAGTCTGTCCTGTTGCTCTTTTTTTATAAATAGAATTTGCATACATCACCATACTGTACCTGTTCCTGAGAATAAGGAATCTTTTTTCCCAGTTTCTGTTTATCCGATCTGCTTCCTTTCTAAACCTGTAATAAATGTACAGATGGTTAAACACTGTACAAGCTACAAATGAACGACTGGGGCTCCTTGTCCACTGTACCTTTCAAACTTCTTCTTCTCATTGTCTACTATGACCTTTAGTGCTTCTACTTGCACCAACAACTCACTTCTTTCTTCAGTCTTTCAACAGAAAATATATGACAAAGTTAATTACATGAACAAATACCCTGTTTCTCCATAAATCTGAAAAAGCTATTTCTATTAAGTAGTGTGTACATTCTACTATCAAAAATAATTTGACAGAACAATGAGTTACTTTTACTTGTAAATTTCCACAAATAGGAAGAGCTTAAGATCCTCTGCCTCCATTTCCTATAAATGATTAATTTAGGGGCAGCCAGTTCTAGACCATATTAGGAAGCATCAGCAATTTATCTTTATCGCCTCTCCCCCCACCAGCTATCCATGTTTCCAAATCTTATTTTCCCTCCCTTCCTGTGGCTTCTCCATCTTGTCATCATAGGCAGCAGCTGCTCCCAGTTACTCTAGTTCTTCTTTCTGTCTAAAAGTTCTCAGGCAAGGACTGGACCAACTTAATCCCAGCAGAACTTTATGTCATTTTTCAGGATTGCTTATATTTTGCAAGAGGACAAAGTTTCAGCAAAAGGAATGAACCTCTAACAGTGGATTTGTAGGCATGTCATGAATGAGAGAAATTTCTTTCGGTGTGGCAGGGATGTGTCATGGAATCATACTAAAGAGGCAATCAGGTCCTCTGTCTCTTCGTAAGACTGATTTTAAGTGTAGCTCCAAAATCATTGCTACTTTCTAAGAATAGCCAGCATCAATATAAACAATAACTAGGTTAATAATAATGGTCATGTTAGTCATTATTATACCTGAACCACCTCTGTTTTCACCTTCTTTTCTTCCTGTACCTTAACAGCTGTTAAATGTTTTACCTGATGAGAAAATATACCAAATATGTTAAATTAATATGTTAAACATAACATTTCAAATTAATACATAAAGATGTAAGCTTTTCTGCAGCTTAGAAAAAAAGGCAACTGAGACTTAGACTACTCCAATCATAGGCCTGGAAGGTTCTCAGGGCCTTATATAATTTAGAAAACTCAGGTTTATACATAGCATTTGCAATCGGACAATGATAGCTCGTTAAAAATAATTTTCCTACTACTGCTTCTAAAAATGCATTACTCTGTAGTTAATGGTTAAATTTTACCATTAGATTTTTCTAAATGTAATGTTATTACAGTTATTATCCGATGTAGCCACAAGCTTTAAAAAGCTTTATTTGTAAATGATAATTGTGATGAATTTTCACTATCACACATCTCCGATGCGTGGGAGAGCGGATTATTCAGAAGTGAGAAAATATATTGGGTATAACGATCTTCTTGGTTAGCAATCCCTCCAATCCTGTACAACAGACAGAAAAAGTTGCTAGTCATGACACCACTATGTTTTCTGAGTGGGTCAAAGAACCATGAAAAGCCCCTTTGATCTGTTGCCCATGTTGGTGGAGCTGGAGTTTACAAAGAAAGCAAAAGGGACCGAGGATCCCCACCCCCCCACCCAGCAGTGAGGACTGGGGTGAAGACAGAGAATCTCCAGGGGGAAAAGCACAAGGCTGGAGGCCCCAGCGTGTGGTGAGACCCTAGGTGACCCACGCCCAGGGGTGATGTCCCACAGTCAATGTGAAATGGCATCGTGGTGATGTGAATTCTCCCCCCATCACTTACCTTCTTCGGCTTCTTCAAACTTACACCGACAAACTGTGGCTAGGAGGTTCACAAAGAAATTGCAGAAGCAGATTGAATTCAGTGTCTGCTTAAACAAAATGCAAACTGGCGCGGCAGGGGGAGGGGGACAAGGAGACTCAGAAAGTGACTTAATTCAGTGGAAGAGGGAGCCCGATCCAGCAACGATTGCCAGCAGGGGACTGCCAGTGGGCACTCGTGCAAACACGGGGAGGGGGGCATGCTTTGGGTCACCACAAAGCAAGAATGTGGTCCCAAGCCAACTGTCCTTGTATCTGAAGGGGCAGAGAGAATGCAGCTGCCACCAGCTGCCACATATGAAAATAACAGAATTTATAATAACGGTCATAATAGCTAAAATGTATTGACAACCTATTACATGCCACGGACGTCACATATATTATCATTTGTCTCTATATATCTACCTATTCGCTTCTTCATTCATCATATGACTTTAGACTTTTAATGATTGAAAATGCATGCACATATGTAAAAATTAAACTTCAAATATATTCAGGTATACATGAACTTAAGACTCGCACTTCAGGAAGCTAAAGAGTTTGTTCTTTTTTTCTCCCCTAGTTTTTCTTGTGGTTATTATTCTAAATAAACAATAGCCTTTATCCACTGGGGCTCTCCCAGAATAAAGATTAGAAATTTAGAGCATTCGCGTTACCTTTTACTGCCTGTCTCTCCTGCACATCCCAATTTTTTCTTTGCATGTTTGGTTCTTATCGTGGTTGGCTCTATTATGACTTTAATACATGCAAATTTCTATATTCTGATTTATTAACTCATGCTGGGAAATTCGTTTACTTTTTTTTCAACATTCTTCACTCCCTCCACTGCTCAACTGTTAGAAGGATTGTTATTCATTTACATTGTCAATGTACATAGCATTGTTCTCTAACTATGATGAAGTCCTCCATGATTTATTAATCAATCTCCATGTTGATGACAAAAACTAAAATCTCAAAATTAGCATTTGCAATATGTTCACATTACCATACAACTAAGTAGTGTCTCTGGATCTACAGGGAAAGAAATGTAAACCCGTTACTGAAACTTAGCTGCTAAAGCCAGCAAAAACATAAAAAGTGTCAATTTTTTTTTTTTTTTTTGACAGAGTCTCACTCTGTCACCCAGGCTAGAGTGCCATGGCGTCAGCCTAGCTCACAGCAACCTCAGACTCCTGGGCTCAAGCGATCCTCCTGCCTCTGCCTCCCAATTATCTGGGACTACAGGCATGAGCCACCATGCCTGGCTAATTTTTTCTATATATTTTTGGTTGGCCAATTAATTTCTTTCTATTTATAGTAGAGACGGGGTCTCGCACTTGCTCAGGCTGGCTTCAAGCTCCTGACCTTGAGCGATCCTCCCACCTCGGTCTCCCAGAGTGCCAGGATTACAGGTGTGAGCCACCCATGCCCGGCCAAAAGTGTCAATTTTTAACTTTTTCTAGCTTCCTTCACTTCTGAGTCAATCTTAGCTTCCTCTTTCTTGTGTCCATACCATCCTACACGTTCAGTTCCTTTCATATTTGCTTAGAGTATTTCTTGATTTTTCATGACTGGTAAACTTTTTGAGTTTTTACATATTCAAAAATATCTTAATTTCGTTTATGTACTCAATTGGGTGTAAGACTTAGGGATCAAACCTATTATTTTTTTTTTTGCCTTTTGGAAACTTTGTTTTATTTTCTTGCAGCAACCAGTGTTGCTAATGAGAAAATTAAAGTAAATCTCCCTTATTGTTTGGTCTCATTGCAGTTAAACAGATTTTCCCCCTCTCTTTTTAATTCCTGGAGATCTAAAATTTGACCAGCATGTACCTACAGTTTTGTGAGTTCTAAGACACACATTCCCTGTTCTACTAAGCATTTTAACATCTTTGAAGCTGAGATGTTCTTACTATTGGTGTGGATGTCATAATTTAATTGACAGCAGTTTTTCCCTGCTACTGTTAAAATAATGGTGCATTTTATAACCAGTAGTATCTGAGATTCGATAAAATATGGCAGATTCTGCTTTTTTTTTTTAAATCCTGCTTAGCACTTGGTGGGCCTTTTCATCTGAATATTTGGAGTTTTTCTCCTTCATTTATGGAAATTTTCTTTTATTTCTTTATTATAGTCTGACTTCCATTGTATCTATTTTGCTTTTTAAAAATCCTATTAGAAAGACATTAGACCTCCAAGATCTAGCCTCCATATTTTAATTTTTTTCATCATTTCTCCCTGCCATTTCACACTATATTCTAGGAGATTTTCTTCGCTTTATCTTCTGGATTATTATTTAGGTCTTGAGCTGTGTTAATTTTATCATTCAGCCTGCCTATTGCCTTTTGGGGGGAAATTTTATTTATTATTTCCATGAAATTGTTCTTTTGCTTGGACTGTTCCTTTTTCATAGCTGCCTGTCCTTGTTTAATGAATAACAGGTTCTCTTCAATGTGTCCCCAAATATTTTTTATTGAAAAAAAGTTCTAGTCTTTTCTCTGAATTAACTTTTTCCTACAGGACCAAGTGCTTTATTTGTTCTCTTGGTTCCTCCTTTCATTCATTATTTACTGAATGCCTAGTATGTGCCAGGGATTGTTCTAAGTGCTGGAAACACAACAGAAAAGAGAACAGGGCTAAAGTAAAGAAGGCAGATTTCAGAGAAATTATGAAAGAGGTCAAATTTCGGGGGCTTTTTGAGTGAGAACAGAGCTCCCTGGAATTTCTCATTTGGGCAATTATTTGGAGAATAAAACCATTCACCAAGACAAGCAAAAGATAATAGAAATAAGGACAATTTTTTAATGCTAGCTTTTTCTTTAATGAGAAAGATTTTGGCAAATTCAGATTCAAATACTTGGAGTTTGAGGTACGTGTGGCTTTTTCAAATGAAGACACACAGTGGGCAACTGGGGCCAGGGCCTGGAATTTGGAAGAAGGGTCCATCCTATAGCTATAATTTGGGAGCCATCAGTATATTAGGTGAAGCTAAAGACTTGGATAAGGCTATTCATGACATTCCTGGACCGAGAAGACAGAAGGTCAGGATGGGTCCCCGTGGTGTGGGCATGGCTGACCCGCAGTTCTCATTTGGCCCTGGCTGGTAGAATCCTCAGAATGGACTTAGCCCTGAACCTGCATCCCAACCCATTGCTTTTACCTTACGTCTCCGAACTCTAACTCCTCTTCCATCAAGACCCACAATCCTGGAAGCCCTTTGTTGGTCTCAGAACTACCCAAATAACCATTCCCTTAGTTGTCTACACAGCATCTCAACCTTCTTAGAGGAAACTATCTCCACAAGCACAGTGACTCACTCTTCTAAAGGCCCTTGTGGCAGGAAAGTAGCCAAAAAAGAAAGCCCAAAGCACACCACCACCAATTTAACAAAAGCAACAAAAAGTCTGTGTTATTGTTAGTCTTCCTTGGCCTCAAAAAAATAGGGGTCAGCTGGGAGCAGTGGCTCACGCCTGTAATCCTAGCACTCTGGGAAGCCAATGTGGGAGGATCATTTGAGGTCAAGAGTTCAAGACCAGCCTGAGACCAGCCTGAGCAAGAGTGAGAGCCCATCTCTATAATTGAAAAAAAAGTAGGGGTCACCAAAGTGACATGAGACAGGCACTTTTGGGGATCCTTCCACCTGTTTGTTCTCAAGGAGAACAATCCACCTGAATTGCCTCTATGCCCGGGTGCAAGGGGCTCAGAATTCACTGCCCTTTGGTTAGCAGTAGCCCAAGGAAGTCACCAGGGTAAGAGCGTCAGGCCTTGGGCATTTGCCAGTATACTAAAGGGGAAAAAATTAACCTGAATTAAAAAAAAATGAATCCCAAGAAAAATCAGAAAAACGAATCAGTAGAACAAAATAAGTTTCCACGTAGAAAGACATTCATATTTCACTTATGCCCAAAGTCTGTCAGTGACTGAAAGTTTATAAAGGAAATTCTGTGTTTAAATTGACATACAGTAAAAATTAGTTTCGATTTTTGAGGCTCCCTTTTCCTGACTCTCATATAATTATCAACTGCATAATAGCTAGAAGATAAGTTTGTGCTAAAGCATATCTTCTGTAAAGCAAATAATTACTCAACCTCTCCAAAAGACAATACTGGTACAATGATAAAGATAGTGTCTCTTTTCATTAAAAAAAGAAAAAAAGGAAAAAAAAAAAGAGCACCACATGTAGACTAGAGTGTTTGCTCTCGGGTTGGAGTTGAACTTTCAACTCCGCGACAAGCATGCTATATTGCGTCCTGGCTCTGTCCACATTAAACTGTCATTTTGTTTTGCCAGCTGCTGACATTCCACTTTCTCTGGAACACACACGCTGGTCTTTATGTGGTCACTCTGTTGACAGGTGCGGACACCAGGCTGCTGAACAATACATAGAGGTGAAAATGGATGGCAACACGAATATAAAAGTAATTAGCTTCCTAAGTAGGAAAATGGAAATCAGATAATTGTTAAGATAACAAATTATTACCATTAGTAATTTATTATAAATATTTCTCATTTTTCTTTTGAGTTTGTACATATATTTATAACAAAAATTTCATAAAGTTAAGAAATAAGGCTCATTTATAACAGAAGTTATGATTCTCAAATGTGTTTCTTATTTTTTAAGCACTTAAGACATATTTTTTCAAATGTCATAAATATAACCTTCTATATTAGGAATCAACAACTGAGCTTTGTAAAAACTCTGGTTTTACAAAAAGAAACACAAAAATGTTTACCAACTGCTGTAAGATTAGCTATACCTTTTATCATATCCTTTCATGCCTGTTCTCTTTTTTCTTGTCAAGAGTTGTTACATTCTTCTATTTGTCCTAATTTCTGTAAACATCTCTTGTATGAAATTTTGCCCATTCTCTCTGGGAGAGTTGAAAGATTTTTTCTCCTTTCCTCTTCCCCATTTCAATGTTGAATATAGTACTAACAAAGCAGTCTTTCTAACTCATCATGAAGAAAGATCATTTTCCCCTAAAACCTCAATAATTTTGACTTTATATTCGCATTTTAGTAGTGTGCCAGTGGGTGGTGGTTGGTCAGGAAAAAGAAGGGGTGATAAAAGCACATGAAAAGAGGAGAACAAACCTTGTGCACTTAACAATTTGGAGAGAAGAGACTGAGAATTAACTAGGAACATTGAGAATAGGATATGAGGCTGTGTTAATCAAGCACTAATCATTGTGGGGCCGAAAGTCAAAACAAAATATTATCTGATCTACATATATTACTCGGGAATTTTCTCCTATTAAAATTGTTAAGTTGGGGAAGTCTTTCCAAAATAGGGTGAGACCTTCTTCATTTGATGTCCCCAGGAACGCCACTCCACATCTGCCAAAGGCCTCTGACGCATCTTGACAAAATGACCCGGGCTGTGAAGCCCTACAGAATCCAGACTATATGGGAATCTGAAGTTTGTCTTCTCAAAGAAAATCTAGGTAAACTACAAAATCACAACGTTTTCTTTTTTGAGACAGAGTCTCACCCTGTTGCCTGGGTGCAACCTCAAACTCCTGGGCTCAGGGATCCTCCTGCCTCAGCCTCCTGAGTAACTGGGACCACAGATGCAAAATCACAACTCTTTTTGAACCCATCAGAGAACTGAGGTCACACCCAGGTAGCCTAGCTTGCAAAGAGGAGCAAACCCCTCTAAGGAGAGATAAGACAATGAACTGTCTCGTCTACAGCAGGAGGAAGCACCAGGCCATTCAACACAAGCAGGTCAGAAGAATAAGCTGAAGTGCAAAGACTGCTAAAGGTCAAGTGTGGGTTGGCAAAGCAGTATGAAGTAGCTGGGATGCAAGTTAGAAGGGGGAGGTTGCAGTTCACATTCTCTCACAAGGTTTCCCCTTTTTTTTTCCTCCTACCAGGTGCTCATGAGAAAAACTGGGGGCAGAACAATTTTGGAAGAAAATCATTGTTGAGGGTGCAGACTTGAAGTCAGGATCAGCTGCTACTAAGGAAAAAACACCTTTTCTGGATCCTTCTATCCTAGGAAGCAAAAGTCTTAACCTCCTGGGAGAGAGGAAGATAACTCTCTGGCCGACCAGGCTCAGCAAAGGTGGTCAGTGGTTGACGCTGTGAAGAAGTGTTAGGTACCAAAGCCCACCTGTTTCTCCCAGGCCTTTCCTTCCTAAGAAGGGAAAACTTTCAACTGCCGGGAAGGGTGGGAAGGCCTCTATTAATACATCTCACAGGATGCAGTAATAGATGGAGATTTATTATGTCAATGGGGAAAATTAAAGAAACGCGCTCCTCCCCTGGGGTTAATAATTGTCTTGGACCTTAGACTGGGTACCAATAGCAAGTGGAGGTTTCCTACCATGGCAGGAAGGACAGGAAACTCCTACCCAAGACCAACTTCAGAGCTACAATGCCACAGGGAAAAGGAGGAGGAATGCTGAGAAAGCCCCCTCTGAGGACCAGGGACATAGCACTTCCCAAAGACTCAGTTTGGACTGGGACAACAGAGAATCCACTCTGCCCTCAAACAGGGAGTGCCAGGCAATGGCAGTCTGCTACTGAGAGAGGGGTGAATGCATGGATATGGACCTACTCCATGGCACAGGTAGACGGGTTCTGCAGTGAGCTGAGGCTGGAGGGTAGAGCAGTATATGGAGAAAAGCACTCCATGACCTCAGCTCCCACCTCATGCACTTACCCACCACAAAAGAACTTGCAAGACTGTGGTCCTCGTGTGTGGTAGATTTCATGTAAAAAAACAAAAGACTGTGGTCCACTGGAGGTAACCATAGCAACAACCAAACTCAACTCAGTTTCTCATTAGATTGGTCCAACCTCTCACAATGATAGTATGTATATAATATATATTGTACATATGTGTATATATTATATTGTATACATTATATGCAATTATATATTAAACATATTACAATACATATATAGTATGTATATACATACAATATAATATATAGTGTACAATATTATATATATATATATATATAGTCTCATAAGAGGCATGCTATTTGCAGGTGTGAATACACTTTACTTCCATTTCTACTGCTCTATATGTGATGCCCAGCATTCAGTCAAAAATATAAGACAAGGCCAGGCTTGGTGGCACATACCCGTAATCCCAGCACTTTGGGAGGCCAAGGCAGGAGGATTGCTTGAGGCCAGGAGTTCGAGACCAGCCTGGGCAACATAGGGAGATGCAATGTCTAGGAAAAATAAAAAATACTGGCGGGGCACGGTGGCATGCACCTGTAGTCCTAGCTACTTGGGAGGTTGAGGTGGGAGGATCACTTGAGCCCAGGACTCTGCAATGAGCTAAGATCATGTCAGTGCACTCCAGCCTGGGTGACAGAGAAAGACTCTGTCTCTAAAAAAACAAAAAACAAACAAAAAAAGGCAAAGAGGAAAGAAAAAAAAATAAAGAACCTATTGTTAGGAGACAAAGTAATCAACAGAACCAGGCTCAAAGATGACCCATGACCCAGATGTTGAAACTGTCAGACAGGGGCTTTGCAATAACTATAACCAAAATGTTAAGGAACCTAGGAGAAAGAGGTGAACGACATTTGTGATAAACAATAGATAGGGAATTTCAGCAGAGAGGTGTAAAATGTGAAAAGGAATCAAGTGAAAATACTAGGATAAACAACACAACCACAGAGATGAAGAATTTCTTTAACCGTCTCATCAGTAAACTCAATACAGCTGAAGAAAACAATTAGTGAGTTTCAAGATGGGTCAAAAGAAATTCCCCAAACTGAAACAAAGAGAAAAAAGTAATTCAAAATTAATAGTAGGGCATAGAAGAGTTGTAGGACAATTATCAAACACTCTAACACATATATTCAAAGACAAAGACATAACTGAAGATCATGGTCAGAAGTTAAAGAAAAATCTCAGACTACTAATTCACGAAGCTAAATCAGGATAAACAGAAATAAAGAGATGAAGGAGGGAAGACAACAAACACCCAAAGACATGCTATAATCTAACTGTTGAAAAATAAAGATGAAGAGAAACTCTTGAAGTCATTCCAAAATAAAAGACACATTACAGAGAAACAATGTTAAAAATGACAGCAGATGTTTTGTCAGAAATTATGTAAGCCAAAAGACAGTGGAGTCACACCTTCAAAATGTTAAAAGACAATAAAACTATCAACTCAGTCTCAGAAAAATATCTATCAAAAATGAAAGCAAAATAGAGATATAAAGTTTTTTTTCAGGCACATACAAAAACTAAGAGAATGCATTTCCAGCAGACCAAAAGGAAGAGGGGATTTGATAACAGACCTATAGACTTGACCTACACAAAAAAATGAAAGCTCCAGAAATGGTATAAAGGAAGGTGTCAAATGCAAATCTTGCTGTGACAAATTATATCAATTTTTGTTGCATGAAAATATCTATGTTAAACTTTAAATGTTCTGAAGGATATAACATGTTAGGAACTCCAAAAACAGTACCTTTCATGGAAACATTGGAAATCCCAAAGGCATTTGGAGCAAGGTGCATGGACAGATATGAGTTTTACAGTGGCTTTCTGGAGAGCTCATAACACTTTTTATTGCTGAAGACTAAGCTATTTGGGGGGTTCCTAGAGTTTCCTACAAATTGCAGTGGCTTCTCATTGACCACTTCTCAATCAGCTGCTTGGATGCTTCAGCCTAAAATCTGAAATCTTTTTTGGTTGTTGTTGCTTTCTTAATTTTTTGCTCTCTTAGCTTTTCTAATGGTTGCATAAGAATCCCACCACTATCCAATATATACATGTAATGGAATTCAACTTATACCCCTTTAATCTATTAAAAGAAAAGAAAAGAAAAGAAAAGAAAAGAAAAGAAAAGAAAAAAGAACCTAACTTCATATTACAATCTTACTCATTTCAATACAAAAACTACCTTAAAAATATGCTAATGCTTCATTTAATGTAAACCAGATAGAAATGTTATTTATTTTCATTGTAACCCACTTACATATTCTCAATAAAGGAGACAGGCCATCAGAATCACATTCTAGGTTGTTACATACCTTTTCTTTAATGGATTCCAATCTCTCTTTCTTGAACAAGCAGATAGTACATTGAGAAAAAGAAAACAAAGAGGGTATTAAATGAAGAAAAGCTTAAGAACCACCTCCATGAAACTAAATTCCTAAAGCAAACAAAATTGACATGTGATAACTCATATAGACTTATTCACAGAGTTTGAAGAGAGAACCGGGACCTGTCCATCAATTCTGGTAGCACGAATCCAAATAAATGTTCACTGTATACTTTCAGCCATTGAATTAACTGGACGCCATAACGCTTCATACCACTGGTTGTAGAGAACTTGTTTTTCTAATCTACATCCAAAATAGAAAAAGGAGTTATCACAGCCACACACAGTGTTGCACGCCTGTAATCCCAGCTACTTGAGAGGCTGAGATGTAACACTCTCAGCTTGAGCCCAGGACTTTGAGCCCAAGGAGCTTGAGACCAAATTGGGCAATAGAATGAGACATGATCTCAAAACAACAAGAACGAAAACAAAAAAGGAAAAGGAGTTACAGACCTGGAATAGAAAAACTAATTATCTACCAATGCTGTGAAAAGTTACGGAGTTCAGTTAATACAAGAGATGAAACATCTGTATAGTTCAAGAGCTGAATTATATATTCAACAGAGAAATGATTCCCACACTAAGACTGGTAAAGGAGATGCTCAAGCTATATTTAAAAGCCTAAAGTAGGCCGGGCGTGGTGGCTCATGCCTGTAATCCTAGCACTCTGGGAGGCCGAGGCGGGTGGATTGCTCGAGGTCAGGAGTTCAAAACCAGCCTGAGCAAGAGCGAGACCCCGTCTCTACTATGAAATAGAAAGAAATTAATTGGCCAACTAATATATATAGAAAAAATTAGCCAGGCGTGGTGGCACGTGCCTATAGTCCCAGCTACTTGGGAGGCTGAGGCAGGAGGATCGCTTGAGCCCAGGAGTTTGAGGTTGCTGTGAGCTAGGCTGATGCCACGGCACTCACTCTATCTAGCCTGGGCAACAAAGCGAGACTCTGTCTCAAAAAAAAAAAAAAAAAAAAAAAAGAATATTTTCAGTTCTAAATGTACTAAAAGCATTCATTTGTCATCAAACTACCCAGAATAAAATAGCTTACAAGATAAAAGCCACCTTGCAGTTGAATTTTAAACATGATCTTACTCAAATTTTCAAATTTGGTCTCTTAGAGCAGCATACAAAGATGAATTCGTTTTAGTGATAAATGAAAACATTTGAGTTAAAAAATAAAAATGAATAATTGGAGTGTCTAATTTCAATTATTTCTACATTTTTAAGTTATTCAAAATATGAAACAAAGATCCAGTAGGATAAGGAAAATGTTTTGTGTTGGCGTAATCTATCAAAATACGGTAATTATCCTTTGACAACCTGCAAAGATCACACACGTGCCCATGGTTGCCCTGCCTCTGTTATTTCTCCATTGCCCAGTGCTAGCAGGTAAGCAACGGGCAAAGTGCTGGCTTCCCCACATTGCTCTGCACAACTATTAACTAACTGCCTGCTCTATCAAGCCAAGACAAGGGAAAAAAGAATGGAATACTGAAACTACAGATTATATTATTTTCTTCTCTAATAGAATACATTTTAAACTTCATATGCAATTTAATCAAATAAAAGGGTCGTGTAAGAGAGAAACAGTAAATTTCAGAAGGAAAGACCTCTTCTCCATCCATCTAGCCTACAATCCTATAAACCTATATTAATACTTCTATACCCCACAATAATAATTTTTTTAGAATATACAAGCTTGCAGGGTGACTATGGTCATAATTACAAAACTATTGCACCTAACAATTCTTGAATGTTTTTAAAAAACCCAGTCCCTTAGAGTTTTTATTAAAGTCTTTTGATCTGCACAACTTGCTCCGTATTGGGAGAACTCTGAAGAATGGGAACAGAATTGACTTTGTCCTATGTCCCATTTCCCACACAGAAGGGCCCTGATGCTCTCTTCAGATCTAAGCACACACCATATGTTCCGTCGGTGTAGACCAGGGTACCCATGGAAGCTCTCGAGTCTTCCAGGGAGGGATTTGCTGGGTGCAGCCTTAATGAACTAATTACTGTGGAGTGGGAGCGGGGGTGGGGTGGAAAATCTGGGAATCCAATTTAACCTTGATATGTGCAGCCTTAGTATTTGAAATGTTTTACAGCTATCAAAAAATAAACTTCACCCCAAAGCATTATACAAATACAGATTTGCTGTTGTGAAATCTTTCATAAATAGAAATCGGACGCCCACGTTCATATCGTATTTTTCAGACTGGCTAAACACTCCGTTTATCACTGTGTGCTCCACCGTGTGGGCCATGTGTGCTGTTCCCACCGCCTGACACAGATTTCAAAAAATAAGTATGATTAATTAGATAAGTTAAATGACTGATGTAAAAAATTCCTGTAGCGAGCGCTCCATTTGGTCATGGATGTGTGGTAACACTTTTAAGAGAATTCTAAGAGATCCAGCTGCCACGATAGAGTTAAATATTTAAAAGAGAGAGGCAGGAAAAATTATAACTAGTGTGTGTGTGAGTTAATATACAGTGGAGAATAAACCACCTGGGAAGGTGAGAGAAGGGAGTGCTTATAATAATTGGATTATTATCATTAATAACAAAAGTGTCCATGACGGTAATAACAGTGATCTAGAAAAATATATTTCACTTTGCAATTGAGTCAATTACTATAAAGATGTGAACACCAACAAGCTTGCAGGGCGACTATGGTCATAATTGCAAAGCTATTGCAAAAATATTTTACCTAACGATTCTTGAATATTAATAAAAAGCAATGATCTAGCATACAGCATCTCTCCCTTCCCCTGGTCCAAGTTTTACTTACTGTCACACATTAACTTCAGACTCTCCCCCACATGACAAAATGTTAAGCTTTGGAAGCATCCGGGCCACAATTATTGCAGTCAGATGGAAAGACTGCGACACTACTAAGAGAAAAGCCTATTGAAGTGACACCTTTTCAGAGATCCTAAGCCGGCCTTTGTCTTTCCTTTACTGTGCATTTTCAGCGGGAGAGAACAGAAGATAAGATCATTGCCCCTCGTGGGTGGCCGTGACTTTGGAAGCTCAGCTTCTATCTGCAAATCGAGGATAACTGGAGTTTCTGAGCTGGAATTGTAGGGTTTAGTTCCCGCCTTGGGTTGCTGGGGGGGCCTGGGGCACCTTCTGCTGCAGCCACCCCCTGCTGCTGTGACCTGGGACTGGAGGCTCAGCTGCTCTGTCCGGTGCCTGACCCTGCTCTGCAGTCCTCCCAGCCTTAGTCTTGTCTCGCAGCCTCCGACCCCAGCCCCTGACACGTGACCAACAGGCTCACTAAGTTCAAGGCTGGCGTGGCCCTCACCCAGCTCATATTCCCAGCCAGGTCAGCAGGCAGAGTTGCACACTCAGGCCAGGGTTTTTTAGCTTTTTGCTTGTGTTTTTTCTTTTTGTGGACCAAAAAAAAAAAAAAAAAAAAACTTCCCCAAACCTGGGTTATAAACCATCCTACTTCTAGGACCCAATCACTGGTCAGCTGTGTGCAAAATCCCCCTCCCCCTGAGTGTCCTCTTTCTAGGGAAATGACGCTGATTTCCAGTTGTCTATGCGTCCTAACTTCCTGCAAAGTGAAGGTGCTCTTGGAAGAGAATGCTTTCTCTCATCTCCCGAAGCCTCCTTCCGAGAGGAGTGACTTCCGCTGGTACAAAGCCTCCTTCTCCCTGCTCCCTCCCTCCTCTGCTGGAATGGGGAGGGATCGGCCTACAGAGGTGGCATGAGAAGCCTGGTCCTTTCCTTCCCCCTTTCTGGGGCAAGGATGCACACTGCATGCACGATTCTGCTTGCTCTCCACCTCCACGTGCCAAGTAAGAGAGAGGCAGATTCTGCCCCCTGTAGGAGAAGAAAAGGAAGAACACGGGGACATGGAGAAACAGGACAGAAGAGTTTGTGTGAAGCACGAGACGTTGGCCATCCGTGTCACCGACTGGGGGCTAAGCTTCCTACAAGTCAACGCTTACTTGCTCACAGTGCTAAAAAGGAGCCTCGGCTAGATGCGCAATCCACAGTGCCCGCAGATCGACTCAGAGCCAAGAGCCAAAGCATATTCTCCACTGTGTCATCACAAAAGCAGGACTTACGTAGCGATGTGAGCAGCACTTCAGCCACCCCCACGCAACCAGCTGACCGGCTGAGCATCCAAGAGCTACTTCTTAGCACGTCTTTTTATGTCTGCCAGCGGTACCACCTGTAAGAGCAGTTCTGGCTCTTTGGGGGGGGGGGGGGGGCAGATGAGTAAGGAGAACCAATAGCGTTTAATTCATGCATCCGTGTCTCTGATGGTGGGTTCTAACCCGGTTGTCAATTGTGCAATCCTACGCGAGCGAATGGACTAGATACCCGTGTGTCTTGCAGGGACTCCTGTGTAAGTTTCTGATCGATTACACACTCTAGAACGTGCCTAAGATGTGGCTTCTCTATTTCACTAATTAAGTAGAGGTTCACCAAGGTTTAATGATGATGCTAAATAAACCATCAAGCTGGGGATAATTTGGGCTTCATCTTGGGAAGGTTAAGGGCCCTACCAAGGATGTGTTGGCCTAATGAGGAGCCACCAGGGCCCCTGTCACCCTCCCTGAGTGCGCTGAAGGAACAGGAGCCCCTCTGCAGATGAAAGCACCATGGGGTGTGTTCTTACCTCAGGTTTTACCTCAGGCTGCTCTTCCTTTAAAGTTTTCTTTGAAGCCCTAGATTTTCTGGACTCGGCAGATGATATACTGGTAGCCATACTGGTAGCTGCAGATTGTGCAGATGCTGGCCTCGAAGCTGGTGGGGGCTTGGATGGGGGCCTGGATAGGGGCCTGGGTGGGGGCTTGGACACTGAGGACCAATGGGCCTGGGTGAGCTCTTTCAACTTGGCTGATCGCAAGCGCTGCCACACAAAAAGAACCAATTTTGTTATTCTCATTTTGTTTCTCAGATTTGTGTCCCTTTCTTTTCCTCCCTTCCCCTCCCCTGCGCTGGAATGGCAGAGTTGACACTTCCAGTCCCAAAGGGCATGGATCTGTTCTTGCTCCAGGGCCCCCAGTCCTCCCTAGCTGGACTTGATTTGCAGGTGAGGCTCATTTCTCCACTCCCCGCACTGATCCTAGCAGCCTAAGAGAAACAGACCAACAGATCAGCGTTCTTGGGAAGCACTGCGGGGGGTGTGGGGTGGGGGGGGGTGAGCTGGTAGCTTGAGGTTCATATTAAGGTAGGAAGAAGGTAGGGCAGCAGCAGGTAGGAAGGAAAGTCCAGGAACCTGAAGGCAGGGCCTGGGGCCCCAGGATGAGTACACAAGGACACTTCAAAGCCCCTAATGGCCTGCAGCTTGCTCTAGCAGGCGTCCTCAAACTACAACCTGCGGGCCACATGCGGGCCATCTAGCACATTTATCTGGCCCTCTGGGTGTTTTTGCCGCGGCTGCCTGTCCTGCTTAGCAGCTGACTTGTCCCAGGCCCACGGTGCACACTCTCCAACGGTCTGAGCGACAGTGAACTGGCCCCCTGTTTAAAACGTTTGAGGACCCCTGGTCTACAGCAACTATCGCTTTCTGATCGCCCACTCACACTTCCTGCCTCACTTCCAAGAATTTTCTCTTTCGAATTCAGAAATTGCAAGGTGAAAAGCCTCAGCATGGAACATATAGACTCCTTAAGCCAGATATCAAAATAAGAGAAACACAGAATTAAAAAAAATAAAAGACAGAGAGAGAGAACTTAAATACCAACCTTCATGCTCAGGACATCGAATGCTTTTTTTTGTTCCATCTCCTCTTTCTGTTTAGTAACCTGTAAAAGGGAAGGTCTATATCATTTGCTATTATTTGTAAAGATTAAAAAAGAACATTTTTTTTAAAAGTTCCATAAGCAATGCAGAAGTAGCATTTTAAACCGTTTGACTTCCAAAACTATCATGGGAATATAAGTTATAATATTGAAGGAGAATTAAGAGAAAACAAGCTTGTATCTAGAAAAAGAACATTAAAAAAAGTGAACAGAAATATTTAAAATTGCAAATATTTAAAGTAATTAGCATTTCTTTATTGCTTTAAGTATCAGAGATTATGGAAAAACATACATTGTTTGCTTATGAGTTGATAATTTGATACATTATTATAGTAGTTATAAGTTCTAGGTGTTATAAGATTTTTTTGAGAAATTTAAGATAATTTATTAGTCGAACTTCCACAACATAACAAATGAAATTTTACTATTTTTAAAATCAATTTTAATTTTTAGGCATAAAAGGCATTATATCAAAAGATGTATTATTAATGCATGCTTCCATAATATTAAGATTTTTTTTCGTAAAATGTATGAGCAAACCAGTGATTCTAATTATTACCAATCTTATTTGAAATTAAACAATGATGAAAAATATATCTAACCATCAATGGTCACCTAACCATCAATATATCTAACCATCAATTGGTCAATATATCTAACCACCAAATATATCTAACAATCAATCTCATTGGCATCTGAACAACAGCTACAATGGATTTTCAAAACTCTCTCTCACCTACTAATGGAGCAGAACTCAACAGAGAGCAGATCTGTTTTAGGGTACCTTGAAGTCTGGGAGGACAGTCACTGGTGCCCAGGAAAGACTGTATTTAGATGGTCTCAGGGTATTTAAACTCAAGCCTCATGTTGTCACACATGGTTTAACGACGGGGATGTGTTCTGAGGTGTGCATCGTTAGGTGATGTCATCGTTTTGTGAACATCACAGAGTGCACTAACACAAAACTAGATGGTGTCGCTGCTACACCTAGGCTATATGGCATATGGCTACCCTCTTGCTTCTAGGCTACAAACCTGCACAGCATGTTGCTCTAATGAATACTGCAGGAAACTGTAACACAATGGGAAGTATTTGTGTCTTTAAACATATCTAAACGTAGAAAAGGTACAGTAAAAATATGGTAGTGTAATCTTATTGGACCAACATTGTATATGCCGTTCATTGTTGACCAAAATGTGCAGCGCATGACTGTATTACAGTTAAGTTCCATTATAACGGTTTGAAAATAATTTTCTCTATACTACTTTACCTACAAGAAAAGCTAAAGAAGCTCAGAAATTGTAAATATCTCAGTAAATATATGACTATTTTATCTTTCTTTCAAACACATAAGACTGTTTGAAGTAAGAATTATAACACTGGTATAAATATAAAACATATGACAACTCTAACATGAAGAATGGAGAGATAAATAGACCTATATAAATAAACATACATTTGCAAGGTTTCTATATTTTTCATGAAATTGCCCAGTACGAACTCCAAGAGGATGGTCAAAAGTTAAGACTGTAAATTATAATCACTACAGCAACCACTGAAATGTATAGCCAAATGATAACAGATAGGAAAATATAATCCTAAAATATTATACGATAGGCAAAAAAGAAGAAACAGAGGAACAATGACAAAAAAAACAAAACACAACAGAGAAAACATAAAGAAAACAAATAATGAAATGGTAGTCCTAAATCTAATCCTATGAATAATAACATTGAATGTTGATGGAATAAACAATCTAGTTAAAGTGTAAAATGGCCAGGATATATGAAAAAAAAAAAAAAGCAAGATCCAACTATTTACTGTCTATAAGAGGAGCACTTTCAATATAAATACAAAGAGAAGAACTGTCAACTGTGAATTTTACATGAGGCATAACTATTCTTCAAGAAGGAAAGCAAAATAAAGATATTCTCAGCTGGAGTAAAACTAAGAAAATTTGCTGGCAGTAAAGCTGCCCTCATGGAATGCTAAAAGAAGTCTTTTGCACAAAAAGGAAATAATATTAAAAGAAGGATTGGAACTTTAGAGGGGAAAGAACAAATAAATAGATGACAATATAATGCACTAACTTATGATTTTCTTGAATCAAATTTCATGGTTAGTGCAAAAATTGTAACACCATCTAATGTGGTCTTCAATGTATGTAGAGGAAATGCTTAAGATAATTAGACTTAAAAAATGGGAGGGTAAAAGGCCCTAACTGGATGTAGTATTTCTACACTTCACTGGATACCAGTAGACTGTGATAAATTAATCAATAGAATTTAATTGACAGATAGGGGTCACTCCATACAACAATAGCAGAATACATTTTTTTCAGCATTCACAACTATAAACCATATCCTGAACCATACATTAAACCTGAGTACATTATTAAAAGTTAATATTTTATATAATGTTTTCTAATTGTAATGTAATCAAATGAAATCAATAACAGAAAGGCAAGAAGAAAATCTCCAAACACTTGGAAATTCAACAACACACCTCCAAACAATTCAAGGGTTAACAGGAAGTTTCAATGCTTATTTATTTATTTATCTAGACAGAGTCTCACTCTGTTGCCTGGGCTACAGTGCCATGGCATCAGCCTAGCTCACTGCAACCTCAAACTCCTGGGCTCAAGCAATCCTCCTTCCTCAGCCTCCCAAGTAGCTGGGACTACAGATACATGCCACCATATCCGGCTAGTTTTTTTTTTTTTTTCTTTTCTTTTTAGTAAAGATGGGATCTCACTCTTGCTGAGGCTGGTCTCAAACTCCTGACCTCAAGCGATCCTTCTGCTTGGGCCTCCCAGAGTGCTGGGATTACAGGCATGAGCCACCATGTCCGGCCTTCAGTGTATATTTAGAAAGAAAAAAAACCCACATAGAACTGGAATGAAAAGTCAAACAAATATGTGGGATACAGGCAAAGCAGGGCTAAGAGAGAAAGACAGCATCAAATGCTTACAGTAGAGAAGAGGAAAGGTCTCAGGTCAGTAATCTAAGCTGGTACCTCAAGACATTAGAAAAAGAACAGCAAAGCGGCGCGGTGGCTCACGCCTGTAATCCTAGCACTCTGGGAGGCTGAGGGCGGGATTGCTCGAGGTCAGGAGTTCGAAACCAGCCTGAGCAGAGCAAGACCCCGTCTCTACTACAAATAGAAAGAAATTAATTGGCCAATTAATACATATAGAAAAAATTAGCCGGACATGGTGGTGCATGCCTGTAGTCCCAGCTACTGGGGAGGCTGAGGCAAGAGGATTGCTTGAGCCCAAGAGTTTGAGGTTGCCGTGAGCTAGGCTGACACCATGGCACTCTAGCCTGGGCAACAGAGTTAGACTCTGCCTCAAAAAAAAAAAAAAAAAGAAAAGAAAAAGAACAGTAAAATAAACCCAAATCAACCAGAAGGAAGTAATTTGCAAAAATGTGAGACAATGCCACTCCTCCTAAATAATTTATGTTTTTCAAATATTTTTTACAAATAATATGCTATTTATGGTAGCATGTAAAGGGTTTATTTTCATTTCAAATGATTTAATAAATAAATTTATTCTGTTCGCATTTCATGCACAGTGACTGTCAATAGATAAAACCTACGGAAGCCAAATCTCCGCGGGGGCTTCCATTATTCTTACGAGTGTAAAGGAATCCTGATATGAGAAAGTTTGAGAACCACTGGAGTGGGACCTAGACATTGATTCTGGAAACCACACTGTAGCTATTCCATATATTGGGTAGCTGTGTCACATGTGCGTATTGACAGTATTATGAGCTTATTAAACTGTATCTCGTTCACACCAGAGTGTGGGTTAAGCCACTTGCAACGAATGCTCTTTGTTATTCATCCCTTCGTTTACTCGTAACAAAGATCTACATAGCATCTACTCCATGGTGGCCCCCATGTTAGGTTTGGGGGGTACCCCGTGAACAAGATGCAGTTCCTGCTTTCAAGCAGCTCATAGAACGGAGAACGTGGGAAAGTCAGCAGCCATCTCTATGGCTGTGATGGGAGCCCCCACCCCAGGAGATCTGTGTGCTGTGGCCATGGGGGGTGGCTCCCCCTCCAGGCTGGGAAGATGGGGTGGGGGTGGGAGGAGCTTTCCCAGAGGAGCCCACACTCCTCGTGTCACTTTTGTCTTGAGGAAGAGCCGCTATTCCTGGAGCTTCCCTATGAATACACCCGAAGCATCAGTTCCCTGTCTGGGCGGCCACTCGCTGCCCCATGACACGAGACAGGGCAGGGCACGCTTGCAGCCGGTGTTGGGGGGTGGGGGGGACTCAGGAACCCGGTTAGGGCAGCAAGGCAGACTGCCAGTGGTGACTTGGTGCCATGTCCCCAGAATGGGGCTAGAGCAACCTATACACCTGCTTCCTGTCCCAAGTCTGGATTGTTCCAAGAAACCAGGTGCACTGGGAGGAAGCAGGTTTCGATTATTTAATAGGTAAGAGAAAGAGTTCACTCATAGTACTTTTCTGATGAGAACTTTCCCTCTCTCTCTTTCGTTAGCTTCAAGGTAAATTAGAGCCACTCAGCCCAGGAGCTGTAGAAAGACACGAAATTATTTCATATGCGTCCCCAAAAGTCAGTCTAAGGGTCTAATCACTCCACATTTCATCACTTACTTGTCTATACTGATTGTGCATGTTTACTACCAGCTCTTTGACTTTTTACCTTATGCTCTTAATAAGCTGGAAAACAAATTGTATTCAGGAACAGTAACAGACAATCATAAAACCAAAACCTTTCAGTGGGAAAGGTTTTTTTTATTTTTACACAATGACTGGGGTCAACTCTACCTTCTCCCACTCTCCCTTGTCTGGGCAATCACAAGTCCTGCAAAAAAAGCAGTACAGCAGGAAATAAAGGAAGCCCAAATAGCAACAAAGCCAGCTTCCCTCCCAGGGAATAACAGAATGGCTTGGGGGAAGGGGGTGGGAGGAGAGGTCAGCTTTGAAATAGTGATTTCTGCTGGACCCCAAGCAGGTATGTGATGGAAATGTTGGTCAAGAGAACCCCAAACCCACTCCCTCTGCTGAAAGCAAGAACCCTCGAACTCGTTCTAAGCATCCTGAAGGCTCCTGTGCTGTCATGGGGTTTGTGGTGCAGGCTCTTGCTGCTTGGCAACAGGTTTGTGGCTCCCCAAACTTCTAAACCACAAAATAAAACATGATTGCCCCCCCCCAACGTGGGCAATACAATAACACCCACTCAGGGCTTACAGTTAAAATAAACAGGCAAAGTAATTCAAAGAGTAAGAGATCTGCTCCTAGCATGGGCACAAATTCACCAATAGAATAGCTTTCATTTCTTTTCTATTGCTGCTAACAAACTAACAATATAATACCAGCTTCCCACTCTCTAAAAACACTTTCGATTTTAATGACAATATGCACATTTAGTTGTTTGTTTTCAGAAGCAAAGCCGGGATTTTGGAGGAATGACAGAAGAGGGTGGGGGATGGGGGTGGAGGAAATCCACCAAGTAGACTCAAATCTAAAAATGGAAACTATTTTTATACACCAGGTATTTTTTAAAAGTAGAGAGCTCCAAACAACATATTTGCTAACACATGGTTTTTGTGAGTAGCCTACCATAATTTTTTTTTCCCGTCGCCTGCATTCCCAAGTTGGTTTCATAGAAGGCCTTATTGTAATCTAGGAGCATTGTTTTGCATTAATTTCTATGACAAGGAACCCAAAACACAGGGTGCTGAGAGTAACAAAACAGAGTTAGGGAAACAGTCATGACTTGGCACAAAATGTGACAAGCTGTAGAAAAGCGAATGTTTTAATATCTGGAGTGGTGTGGATTTCCTATGAACAACCTTTTCTCTTCTAAACAGTATCATATTCTTTTCAAGCACATTTAGAACGCAAGTCAAGCTGTGTTTTATTTTTTATTATAATAAACACAGTCAGTTTACTGTAACAAAGACATACTAGTGGTGATCAGTTGAAAGCCAACATACACCACCATAAGCTGGGCAGGGGGTGGGGGGAAGGCCTGGGGGTGGGTAGTCAACTGATAAAATAAAAGACCAGCCGTCTGGAAAGTTCTCTTAAAAGAACATAAAAAGGCAGTGTTTTCTTATGAGACTAACACAGAATGCCAAAATATCTAGCTGAGCTCTTTTTTTGTTGTCACTTATGGCAATTTGTAACTAAAAGTAGCAAATCCTTCAAAATATTGGGCCCTCGTATTTGGTGTTTTTTTTTTTAAATCTCCATAATAAAATGCAAAAATTTTTAAACAACTGTTTTAAATGGTAATACTATTTCTAATGTAAGACTTTGCTACGTAGCATGTATATTTATTATGGAACTACTTAAACTGCTTTCTTTAAAATGATCACTTAAAAATGTTTATAATTATACATGCACTTGGATATTTTGATAAAGGTGAAAGGAGTAGTTCACAAGAACAAGTTACAAATAAAGGTTATGAAAGTTTCATGATTAAATTAAATTCCTGAATTTAAATTCATTAGGAAATAATGGAGATCGTCTTACCATTTCTTGGACGACTGATTTTTCATAGTCAAGCTCCTCTCTTAATCTCTCACTGGCATTCATTAACTGAAACAGAGAAGAAATTACAATTTCCTTAAAGATGAGAACACCTGAAATTCCTCCTCAATCGAATTTAGTGAAACATTTTGATATGAGAAAATGGATCTCAATATGATCAAAGGACAAATAAAATTTCAATGGACTATCATGTTATATTACTGAAGAATTATTATATAAGGAAGCAAAATATACACAAAAAAATGCCAATTTGCTTTTACAACTTTCCTCAACCCCCCCAAATATGACATTAATACACAATAGAGCAAATCCTTGTCTGTCAAAAAGAACAATTTTTGCTTTATTCTTTATATGACCTATTTCTCATATTTTAGGGGTTTTGTGCCATATCTATGTGCATATCAAACCATAGTCATATTCATTGAAAACAGCCATTAAATAGCCACTGCAGGGCCATCATACCCATGCGACTGGCCTCCATATTTTAAATGATCGCTTGCTATTTGCATATGTTATACAGGGTGGTAAAATGCAACCCTTGGTTTGGACATCCATGCGATTCAATTAACTCATGTGTTTATTCGTTTCATAAACACCCCCAGCGTCACTGTCCTTGTCTCAGGACTTCACAGTTTCCTGGTTGATCCAAGTAATCTCTGGACTGGCCTCTCTTGCTCTCTTGCTCTCTGGCTCTCTTTCCTCCCTCTCATTCATTTTCTTTTTGAAACACAAATCGGATGCTACCACAATGTTCGAGGCTCTTCCATGCACTCAGAAGGCCATTCCAACCTTTTTGCATGAATAATTATCCTCTGCAGCTGTGCCCTGCTCCTCGCCACCCCTTCCGCACGGTTCTTAGGATATACCCTCTCCTGGCCAACGGTAAGCCCTCTTCTGGGTGTCAGCCCAGTGTCCTTCCTCCAGCCTTCCCTGGTCCCTAACAATCCAGGCCAGGTGGCCTCTGTGCGTCCCCATAGCCAACTGCTTCCCCGCGTCTGGCCCCGACAACATCTGCAGCTCTCAGCCATCTCTGAGTCCCCGTCTGTGTCCCCAGAAAGAAATTCACGAGAATGGACTGAGTCCTGGTGGCAGCTGGAAGACGGCACCGATACAGCTGTTACTCCATGACTGGAATTAAAACATAAGCGCCACTGCATTCCATCCTGACAGTGCTCAGCCCAGATTCATGGCAAGAGGTCAGCCTACCCGGATTCAGTCCCGTTTTCAACTTATTTTCCATTCAGGGGTATAAAATGGGACATGTGGCCTCGCCAAAGGCTTCTGAGTTGCCTCATCCCCTACTTCCATTTCCTGCTCAGCCCTCACCTCACAGCCAGTCCCCCCTCTTCCTGCCCCTCCAAACTCTCTCCAAACTCCCACCACCTCGTCTTATCAGACTCCCACTTTCATTCATGAGCCAGGCCCAGTCACAAGTGGTTCCACAAACCCGTCTCGCACCTCATGTGTCCACCCTCTGCTCTGTACCCTGCCCGCCTCCTTGAGAGGCAAGTATGAGAAAGGGTTTGGTTGGAGCTGTTTGTGAAGCCTTTCTAGAACTTTCCAGAAAAAGCCAGGCATATCCTGTCTGTGCACACACCCCTGTTATGGTCCCTATCACACTGCCCTGTGGTTTTTTTCTACCCCTCTAGGCAGCAGGGGCCGTGTGTGTGTGTGTGTGTGTGTGTGTGTGTGTGTATACATTTTATTCTTACAGCAGTAGTGCAAGAGATACTTTAAAAAAAAATGTTTTTTTAAGGCCAGCTGTGGTGGCTCACACCTGTAATTCTAGCACTCTGGGAGGCTGAGGCCAGGAGTTCGAGACCAGCCTGAGCAAGAATGAGATTTCATCTCTACAAAAGATAGAAAAAGTTAGCCAGGCATGGTGGCACATGCCTGCAGTCCCAGCTACTCAGGAGGCTGAGACAGGAGGCTCTCTTGAGCCCAGAAGTTTGAGGTTGCTGTGAACTATGATGACACCACTGTACTCTAGCCTGAGTGGACAGAGCAAGACCCTTCCTCAAAAAAAAAATTTTTTTTTTCTAGAGATTGGGTATGTTGCTGCCCAGGCTGGATTTGAATCCCTGTACTAAGGCAATCGTCCCACCTCGGCCTCCTCAGTAGCCGGCATTACAGGCACATGCCACCATGCCTGGCAGGAAATACTTTATCTATATTTAGATTTCATAAAATGTACAGATGAAAAAGTAGATTTAACTTATTAAAAATATACATAAAGTTTTTCCAATAGCTGAAACAATTGTCAGCTTTTAAATTTAAATGTAAAATAATTAAAAATTAAGCAGTTAAAAATTCAGTTCCTCAGGCCAAATCTCAAGAGTCTAATAGCCACATGTGGCCAATGACTACTTCCGGGCAGTTTGAGACCAGCCCAAGCAAGAGCGAGACCCCGTCTCTACTAAAAAAATAGAAAGAAATTAGCTGGACCACTAAAAATATATATATATAAAAATTAGCTGGGCATGGTGGTGCATGCCTGTAGTTCCAGTTACTTGGGAGGCTGAGGCAGGAGGATCACTTGAGCCCAGGAGTTTGAGGTTGCTGTGAGTGAGGCTGATACCACAGCACTCTAGCCAAGGCAACAAGAGTGAGACTCTGTCTCAAAAAAAAAAAAAAAAAAAAAAAGAGATTGAAGAGCTTGAGAAACACTATAAATAAATAATCTGATAATGGTTATTAAGTGAAACTAGAAAGCCGAGATTTCATTCTTAACCTTAGAAGTTGATGCCAAGAAGGTTAAATGGGATTGCCATTGTCACATTGCAAATGAGGTGCAGCATTGAGAAAATGAAACCTCCTTGTGAAAACTTTTGAGGGATTCAGTTACCAAAGAAAGTATCTCCCAACCCTGACCCATCAGGGTTACCATTTCTTTCAAAAATACTTCTTTTTGTAATTTTATCTAAAACCTAAGAATATCCTGAACTGCAAAATCGGACCTGGCTGAAATCTGAAACCGAACTTGGACATGTGTGGCTACTGAGCTCTCGAAATGTGGCCAGCAGGACTGACGGACAGAATTTTTCATTTTGTCTCATTTTAATCAACTTTCACTTAAAAATGGATACTCAGTTCAGTTGCTGGGAAACCTCTGTGTTTATCAGGAATACTTTGGGGAATGTGAATCTGCTTTTTTTCATCTGTCAATTTTATGAGCTCCAAATACATTCTCATTCTATCCATCACTAGAGGACTATATTTCTGTGTGCCGGGCACGGTGCTCAGCCCCAGGAATATACCAGAGGCCGAGATTGTGCAGGCTCTGCCCTCGTGGAGCTTAGGGTAGAGCAGGGACCACCGCCCACAGCAGCAAGGCATCTGGGGGCTACAGCAGGAAGTTCAGAGCTCAGCAAGAACCAAGCAGAGCTGCCTGCCCTGCAAGGGAGGGCAAGAACTGCTGCGATCCTGCAGAATTAGGTGCGTTAGGAAATCTTGATTTTCATGATGCCAAAAGAATTTCCTGCTCTAAATTAAGATTTACCAGATAACACAGACCCAGCTCGTTCATGCATAGAAAAATGAACTTCCACCAACATCTGATCCGAACATAAGACTACTCATTCTTCATCATATAATTTTTTTCTACAATAGCAAGCACATCTTTGGACTTCCCAGCATCATATAACTTTTTTTGGGTTCCATACAGTCAACAAGGTAGATGCTTAATTGTCTTGAATAAAAGAAGTATCTATACTTCAGTGAGTTTTCAAGACCAGTTCCCTATTCATTAGTAGTCACTCTACCCAAATAGTGGGCAGAGATTAAATATATAAATCAACTTTCCTCTGCGTCATAAGAAACCCTGGACACAGGGTTATTTGGCCAATGATGCTGATAGTTCAATTTCAAAGAGTCATTTATCAATGTAAAACTGTTACAGTACCTTTCGAATAGTTCTATGATCCTTTTCTGACTTCTCTTTCAGACTTATATATTCATCTTCTGTAAACAAAAGGAAAAAGAGGCCAACCATGAAATTACAAGCTTATGGCCCCTGTATTCAGACGGCCAGCTTCAAGGCAGACCGTGAGCCACTGGCAGGCATGGTGGACTCAAGTCCTAGCAGGACTGTGACCTTCACAACTGCCCTTGACATTCACAGCCTTCTTCCTGCTGTTCAGACGCCTGGTCAGATAGAGATTAAGAAGTAAGTTCAAGATCCAAGTGTGGCTGAGGGCTAAAAGCTTTTCATCAATACTAGCAAGGGACATTTTGCTGTTAGTCACAGCCAATACAAAGTGCTTTAGCAGGTGGCACTTTATGACTCAATAAGAGCCACCAAAACCTGAACAAGCCTTCCCATACCACATCGGAAGAGAATGGAACCATACTGGCATGGTACAATTTTATATTCAAGGGATACTATCATATATCTCATTTTAGGGATGTTTTATGATACATTTTTTATTGCCTGCTCATTGCTTTTCATACTGCAGATTAAGAACAACATTACATAATTAACATAAATACAAAGATAACAGTAAAGTGAAACAATACTTTAAAGGGCTATAACGTGGGTGATATAAATGCAACTTTCACCAATGTTTATGGTATGAAAGAAAAGAGATGTAAAGCATACAAATGAAATTTTGTATTTAAATTGTGTATCAAAAATTGAAGATAATTCGTACTCGGTAGCATATTTTTCTGCAGGGCTAACTCGGTTTCTCTACAAAGCATATTCCAACAGGTATTCCTAAGTTTAGATGATCAGTGAAGCATATAAAACAAATCAGTAAAAGTCTGTATCTGTTTATAATATTTCTAAGTGAAGTCAAGCACTCAGCACCTTTCTGCAAAGACCAATGTTTGGCTTGAAAAAAAAAAAACACCCTGAGTTAGCATGATCTGGCTTAGGAGTACGATTATAACTCTATCCCCTCTTCTAAGCAAGGAATGCTATCTTAAATGAAAAAGCAAAAATGGCTTTTTCAAATTGATGTTTTAAATATAGACAACCAAACAAGTGTATGCTTGGCAAAGCCGAACCTAGTCATGAATTTTATGAAGTGCCCAATGTATAGATTTTTCTCACAAGCGATTGCAAAATGTTACCTAATATTGAATATTCGTTTATATTGCTTCGGACTTCCTCCTCCAGCTCTGAGATGATTTGAACCAGTTTCTCCACTTCCAATTTGTACTCCAAATTTTCCTTTTCCAGGATTAACTTTGCAGCGATGGTCTCTTTGGCCAAGGAGCCCTGCAAGATGGGGAATTGCATGTTCCTAAGCAGGGAGCCGGGCATTTAAATATGCAACGCAAGGACAATGCAGATACAGAAGCGCTATCATATAATTTTCTGAATTCTATTACACACTTATAATATGAATAGTAAAAAGGAAGGCTACATAGAGCTTACTGGAAGAAAGGCTACAGTAACATTCTGTACAAAGCCCCCAACACATGGGGACACTTTATTGACGGGAATAATGCATATCATATTGTTTGTGTGCCCTCATCATTCAGGTCAATTCATTACGGAGGCTGCGTCCGGGCAGGCAGCTGGGGCCTGTCCACCCACACGTCCCTCTGTGTGTGTCTGTCGCCGGTAACTAGGCAGGCTGGGGAGCTCAGGACGGGCAGCGCCAGGGGGTGGCAGAGTGCACGGCTAAGGAGGGGGGCCTTGTTGCCTTTGTGGCATTTCCCAGTGTCAGCTCTGCCAGTGTCAGGAGGAGCACATCACATGTCAAAGCGGTGACGTTTTCAGGCTGGGAGCCGCATGGAGTCCTTCAGGCACTAGGATATCCCCACAGTTGGTTTTCTGCTGGGCGGAGGAGCCACCCAGAGGCAATTCATATTCTGAACATTAACATGGCTTTGCATGCCTGTCACCCGGGGACTGTGCAGGCGTTTAATGCTATTGAAGACTTCGGTTTAAATCTCTATGCAAACAGTGATTACCTTGTAAGAAGGTTTCAGGATAACTTACAACAAAAGACTTTAAAGTTATAGTTTTAGTAAAGCAAACTCATTTACATTTTTATTATGTGCGTCTTTTGTTTAAATCTTGCCACGTCTATTATGGGAGAGGCTTTTTCTTACGCAATGGAAGCTTATTGGGACAGCTACTCTTTTTTTCTTCTTCTTCTTCTTGTCTGTTTCAAAGCTATTGAAAACATCTGAATATACTCCCTTATGGTTGTTTAGATTTTACTGCCACACATTTTTTTTTAAAAAAAATTAAGATGTAATAGGTTGAGGAAGCTAGTGCAGAACTTTAGTCATCATTGTGATAAAATATTAGACTGATTATGCAGTCTTAGCACATTAAAGAGTCATTATATTATTATGCCAAAGATGGAAGATTCTACATGCTTTGCTTCAAAATTACGATAGCCACTAAAAAATGCTTTTGAACTTTAATCTTCAAGTGAACTATAACATTCTTTTCGCAGTAATTCCATGATTGCAAGTAAATAAGAATAAAATCTGCCCTCAAAATCAAAATCATTTCTCTCAATGTAGTGTTTTCCTTTTGGAAATATACTTTTATTTAACTTTAGGGATATGTGGAAATAAATTGTTAAAATGTTTTCCCCGTGATCATAATGTTTCCAACGAAAAATAAGTGGTTGGAATGTTTTATAGTATGTTCATAAACTTAAGAAATTAGTGAATGAAATTATATATGGTATATTTATATATCAGTTAATAGTATTTAAAACATGTTGTTAAATTTTGCACTAAGCTCAATTACAAAGCTTCACGATTTTGATTCAGCATTTCATTTAAATTATTTGAGCCCAATTCATTCTTAACTAATGAGAACTAACAAATCTAGTAAATAGTTAATAAACAACAGTTTCCTTAATAAAGGAAGAATCCCAGTCATTAATTTCTCGTCCCACATTGTTCAATTGGAGACGATCACAGAATGCATTTATAGACTAAAAGGATATTTTAAAGCAAATGAACAAACAAACAATACTGGTCTTAACAGGCTTAAGCACACATTTCCTAAGAGTGGCAGAATATGAACAGCCACAGAGGGTTACATAAACCCCTACCATCATAAACTAAAGAAGAACTATTTGAATTAATCCCATGAAGTGTAAAATTTACAAGTGGTAGCAGCTAATGCCTGAATACGTTTCCTAAGAATCTCTTTGTATGAAAGCAGAACGCCAGGAAAACACATTCAATTTGAGGTTTTTCCTACACATATCAATCCACAGCCCCTGTTCTCGTGAGGGTAACCTTTAGCTCTGTCCCCACCATCTGTCAGCTGCGGGAACTGCAAGTAATTAACTATTCAGACGCCACAACGAGGAGGACACTCATTAGCAAAATGAACAAAGGGGTAGTTCTGGGCGGCTACGGTCCTCTGTTACACTCTGAGTGGCAGGTTTTGTGGTGCTGTTCCTTCTGCCATCTGCCCACACTGCTAGTTTTGGCTTGCGCAAACCGCAAGACTTCTCTAAAATAAACTGCATTAATAAAACAACGTTAAGAAGGATGCAGATCATTAAAAGGCAATTCACTGGGTGTAGTTATTTAAAGTTACATTATGCTCTAAGAGAGATTGTGTGTGATCCATGATCACTATGGAACTTTATAAGGGAACATGCCAATCTCAAAGTTTTTCTATCATATTATGAAAACTAGGACTTCAGGTGGCGGCATGGTGCATTTTCTCTTGTGCATACTCATAAGGCATGCAAAATTACTGTTTCCAGGTTTCAGAATCCCAAATTGAATCTTGAAAGAATCGGGTCTGGAAACAGGTGTCACCAAGAGCCAACGTGTGGTCTGTGGACCTGGAGCCTCAGTAGCACCTGGGAACTTACTGGAAATGCAGAAGTCTCAGGTCCCAGCCTGGACTTGCTATGTGAGAATCTGCATCTCACAAGATCTGCAGGTGATTCGTAGGAGCGGTAAAGTCTGAGAAGTCCTGGTTCAGAGCAGTTTACGTGCTTTCTCGGCCATTCTCTTCTGCGATACTGGCGTCTCATTCTGCGGGCTCCACGTACCGTACTTGGACATCTCAATTTGGTGCTGGGGGAGGGGTGGAGTTCTGATGCATGCCCATGACTTGCGACAGTCACAGAGAAGAGCAGGTGCTTGCCCAATGAGTGACAACCAGGAAAGTGGCACACCGGGGCAGCGCAGCCCTGCAGAGCTGCCACTCTTGAATGACAGCCCTGTTTCAGAGCTGTCAGCGACAAGCAGATCCGCTCAGCAATGGAGGGTGGATGGGTGATGGCCACATGGTGCATTCGTGTTGGGGTAAGAAAGAAAAATGAAAAGTCTATTCAAAACGCCAACTGCAACTGAAATTAAAACACATGCGC